GCGCGGCGACGACCGGGGTAGAGGGGAAATTAGGCTCTCAGAGGGGCGACAGGGGGTGCGAAAGAGAGTTTTCTTCAGTTTTAGCTTTAGACCCAGACTTTTGTAGCACTGGTGCCTGTGTCATTGGGGGACTAAAAACCGATCACGCCTATGGGGTAAGTAGATTTTTCTTCAAAGAAGTCGATTTTCTTTTTGCATTTTCGAAATTCAATGTATAGTTAAACTTTGCCAGTTTTTTTGGTTTTGTTTTCTAGGCCAATGAGGCTGCAACAAGCCAAATTACAAACTTTTTTCCAACTCGCAAACGACGAAGCAACGATGAACAAATTCCGCTTACACCAAGCAAGCTCAAGAAGCAGAACGTGGACGTTAACAACAACAACTGCCAAGTCGTCCCGGATTGCACATTTGTCGATGTGGAGAATGATGAGAATGATCCAGGTTAGTGATTTCAGGATACTACTTACAACAACAGTTCTTTGTTTCGAAACAAAAACTGTTTTATTGTTCTTTCAGAAGCAAGTTTTTACTACTTCGATATGCGTGCATTTGCACTCTTCCAGAGGGGTTTATTGACTGGGCTAGACGCCTTACAAACACCTATAGGCAAAAAAAGTTTAATGTTACCAAGCTAGAACGCTGTGTTCTAAGGTTTTGCTTTAGGAACCGACCGGTACTTAGTAAATTCATCTATCCCGGTGATGTAGGAATTAAAAGCTTAGTTAGTTATTTTCATGGACGTTACCTCATAATTTACATGGAATTACTACCCGTCTCATACGTTAGTCTCCTCCTCTTCCATCTGCTCCATCACTTTTATTATTTTCATTCTATTACACTTTCTTTCTTCTCTTCCACTTTCATCTATCCTTCCTGCAAATTAATTATATGCCTTTTCAATACATGGCAGGTAGGAGGCTGTACTGATGATTCCCACTTCTACCCGCATGCATTGTTCGGTCTGTGTATAAGCTAAGGGATGAAACAGAGACTGACTGCATCGTGAAATGTCTTCTTACACATGACACCTAATTCTAATATTCTTACTCCATTATTTATGCACTTTAGCATTGCTACAGCGAGCAAAAACGCATACTGCGACGAACTCGTGTGTGTGTGTGTGTGTGTGTGTGTGTGTGTGTGTGTGTCTCTCTCTCTCTCTGTCTGAGTGTTTCTACTCGGCGACCACACAAGATCCGGTGCCAAAATTATACATGACACCTAATTCCAATGTTCTTACTGGCCATGTGCCATCCCAGGACTGCAGTACCAGCCTTCACGCACGTCTGGGCCCCGAATGCGACTACGTGAAACTTTTGACGGGAGAACGTCCACTCGGGAACTAAAAAAGCCAGGAGACTGGAATTTTCAGGGGATGTTCCCAGCCCACGTACAACTTGAAGATTTCGAATTCTGTCCCCAGTTACACGTAGTACTCAAATATGCCCCGTGAAAGGTTTAGGGGTCGGAGATGGCTAGCCCTGGAAGGCTGAAATTTTGAGGTGAAGTTCCTCGTCCACGTAGAACGCAAAGATTTCAAATTCAGCCCTCAGGTTTGGATAGTTCTCATGCAAAAATTTTTGACGGGAAAAATGCTAACTCGGGAACCAGGAGAGTTGGGAAGCTGAAATTTTAGCAGAATGTTCCCTTTCCAAGTTTCACATAACAGCTGTACAGTTAACTTTCTGAAGTTCGAGGAACAGCGTGTCACAAATTCTACTTATTGTGATTCTAAGCGATCTTACAACAGCACGAAATACTTCAAAAACACATGATCGCACGGACTCGTCTGGTGCCGTCGCCAATAATTTTCCTTGAGAATCACCCCGAAAATCAGCGCAGATGAAGTCAAATACTGTCAGGATGTGATGCAACAAAACAACGTAGTTTTAGTCGCGTGTTAAATCACGGTACTTCTAGAAGAGAATTACGAACACAGCCTCATTTGGGAGTCATTCCACGTTTTTCTCCGTTTTGTGCTCTGCAACACCAGAAAAAAACACATGTTGTCACAGGGTTGTCTGTGTTTGCGTTTGTGTGTGTGTGTGTGTCCGCGGCAACTTGTCTACAACTTTCAAACCGGGAACCACAAAAGCTAGGAAGCTAAAAATTTAGGGGAGCGTTCCCCACCTATATGTGACCCCGCAAATTTAAATTTAGCCTTGCCGCACCAGTTGGTAACACTATGGCCTTGTAAAAGTCTGGATGGGTAAAATTGTTATCACGGAACCGCGGAAGCTAGAAGGCTGAAATTTTGTGGGCATGCCTCCTGCACACATGCGATCTTGAAATTTTAAATTCAGCCTTCTCCGCGGGTGACACGAACGGCCCCGTGAAAATTTTGGCGGGTAAATTATTGTCTAGGAGATCACTGAATACACAAAGCTGAAATTTAAGGGTAATGACCCCCTTGCTCACCCCCGACCTTGCAAATTCAAATTAAGCATTTCGCGCCCTCGGTACCACCCACGACCCCATTGAAATTATGGCGAGTAAATTATTACCTCGGAGACCACGGAATCTGGGGGGCTGGAATTTTAGGGCAGTGCCCCTCTGTCCACGTACGACCTTGCAAATTCAGATACAGCATTTTCACGCTCTTGAGTATCAGCTACGGCCCCGCGAAAATTTTGGCGAGGAAGTACAATGAAAATCCTTAACAGGCAATCGTTCGGTGGACGAATTTGCACAAAACACATGATCGTACCGGCTAGTCTGTGGCACGTTGCTATTTGTCACAACACTTACGATGAGAAATTGTAGGGCGATTTTTCTTTTTATCAAATGTGGTGGTGTGGTTCATTCTTCTTACTTAATAGAAAGCAAGGATATTTCATATTCGTTTCTTTTTTTACTTATTTTGATCACTGTACTATTTTCTTCAACATTCTTCAAAATTAGTCTTTAAAATTTGGTCTTCAAAAACAAGCTTAAAATTGGGCTTTTAAATACATACACGTATATACATATGTATTTGTTAGCCTGAAATTTTCCTCTTCTCTAATCATTTACATTTTCACATCTTTTTCGAGCTTTTTTGACTAAATTCTATGCTGTTTGGGTGAATAACGCTTACTGGTTTATCCTTTTTTCAACTAATTTTTCTACTTTGATTGGAGCAAACATCTGTAATTTTCCACAGCGATTTGAAGCGTTTTGCAAATAAAAACAAATTTTAGCATGGATGACAAATGCAGCGTCGGTTGTACCTGTTGTTTGTGCGCAAAGTCCATTTGGATTATTCCAGATTTTTTCAAGAGATCTCCTTTTCGTAATCTTTGATCACATTCCAGGTTTTGTTTTCTTCACTTTTTCCTATCTTACAAATATTCTGGAAAAAAAGGCTTTTCCCGGTTTTTGGTGTCAGTTAACACATGCATCAGACAGACCTTGGAATGTTTTGGGCTGGTATTTTGAACATTTTTTTGGTCAGTATGGTAAATCGTAATAGTCTAGGCGGTAGAGTTCAGAACTAGTTAGCGGTACGCATCCAAAAGCATCTGTGAACAGGCAAAGTTTTATCAGATATTTCTAGCGTCTGTGAACAGGCAGTTTTATCAGGATAGTTAAGTTGTTAGTTTCCTCGAAAGATCTAATGAATATTCGAATCGCCTGAAAGAGTTGCAACCTTCATAGGTGGAAAACGGCCAGGCAATGAACTGCAGCTGGTCTAAGCCATTGGCGGATCCATTGGCGCGAGAGGTATTTCACCCCTCCCTCCCCTACTCCCTTCCCGTTCTCAAGGGCTCAGGTAGCAGCTGTTTTAATGTAGGAAACTCTGTTCGGTACCGCTTGTCGCCCTCCTTCCCTTCCCAGGAGCTCCTCTTGTCCCCCCGACTGTACTTTAAGGTCGATTAGCGAGAGGGAAGATGGCGGAACGTCGAGCATGATGACGACCGGGTGGAGAGGGGGGGAGGGACAGGAGACCGACCTGGATCCGCCTATGGTCCAAGCACTCCAAGAGATAAAACATGCACAAAACAGAATGTGGCAAGAAGTAGGAAAGCAAGAGAAGAGATGGTGGAGGTCCTACAGCAAACCGAATTGTTGGAGGGCACGAGTCTTGTAAAGGCAGTGCACTTGCTCAGAGCATTGTTCGAAATTCTGCAAGAATAATGCATCACTGATTTACTCTGCTATTTTTATTACTTATTTTTTCATATCATAAGTTCTACTGCAGCATCATCACAGCTGATTTGTCTTTCCCGCGTTTGCTGTCCCCGAAGCTGTGTCACCACGGGTTATGTTCCCGGAAGCTGTGTCACCAGAGTTTACCGCCCCCGAGGCCGTGTTACTAGGCTGTGACCCTATCTGTGATTATGGCGCCCCCTTCCCGGCTTTCTTAGAAAGATGCTGTACAAGTCTTGTTCCTTCACTTTTGTGGCTTCTCACCTCACCAGTGATAATATTTTCAGTAAAAACCATGAGAAGGAGGTTTGCCCTGTTAAATCATTGTTTTGTCCCGTACTTCATGGAGGTATTTTTGCGGACTCGCGAAAAGCTAACAGAGAAAAACTACAACAAATTTTGCATACTACGTAAAGAATGGCAAGAAAGGAATGTGTCCAGTGCCTGAGAAAATTCTCTATTTTTTAAAATATAAGATCTTATAATGTAGAATAGCATTCTGGTTGAACAAAAGTCAGTAGAAATTTTCAGTATGCCAAATAACGTTGCTCAGTTTGGGTTCAAAAAAACTGAACAAATTCATTCGATACTATGTTACGCTGGCTGGTTCGAACAACCGATTTTGTATAGAAGCTAAACGTGGTCCTCGAGATCTGCAACACAAAGATGATCCTTACCGTAACTGGGGCAAGTTTTTTTTCACTAATGCAAATTTTCTACTTTTCGTGTAAAAATATTCGTTAAGTGTTCGATGAATTCATGTTCCAGTGAAAGTTCCAGCGTAAAATTTTCACTGCCCTTATTGCGATCTTAAAAGTTTGTAGATGGGACTAATGTGCGTGCATTATAAGTGTGCATGTGTGTGTGTGTGTGTGTGTGTGCGTGTGCGTGTGTGTGTATCATTGTCAACACCTAGAGACAGCTATATATTCATAACTGTTTACGAGAGACTATAGTTATGCAAAGTACTTCAAATGCGAGGGGAGGAAAACAGGAAGGTGGTAAAGCTGTGGGAAGAGAAATAATTGGCCAACGCACGGGCTGTCCGTGCGAAGATGCGTTTTATGCAGAGTTCCCCGCAGTTTTTGTCGCTACCGGCATCGTTTTTTCGGCAGATGCTTCTAGTTGAAAGAATTTCAGACTGGCCGCCAGAACTGTCAGGAAACACCCCCTCAAAATTCCATTCTTCTAGCTTCTCACGTTCTCGAGTAAGTAATTTGCCCAGAAGGAACCTTTACGGGCCTGTACGTAGGTACCACACTTACCCGCGGGCAGGGTTTGAACTCGTTAATACCCACTTGGACAGGGAACACCCCCT